CAGTATCACTGTGTGCAGTTCTTATTCCAAAAAATTACGTGGGGGCCAGATAGATGGCTGCCCTTGCAGAGGACCCGGATTCAGTTCCTAGAACCCACATGGTGGCCAACAACTGTCTGTGACTCCAGCTTCATGGACTCTAACACCCTCTTCTGACCTCTTTGGGCATTGTATGCACTTGATGCATTTACATACATCCAAGCAAAACACTCATACACATAAAATAAAAATAAAATTTTCTTAAAGAGAATACAATTTTTATATCAACACTTCAGTGTTCATTCTCTCTTTTTTTAAGTGCAGAGCTTTTTCAAGCCAGATTTTCTGGACTTCTGGGTATAAAGTGGCCTCTAGGAGTAGAACTTGGCCCTGTATACACTTGGCTGCCTCCAGGTCTGGACCTAGGTGCACAGCAAACTGCCTTTTGCATAAGGATGGCAAGAAGCAGAATATGGACACATATGTATCTGTTTATGTTCCCAAAAGCAAATTCTGAAAGCATAAATCAGGAACTAAGTGAAGTAGCTTATTAATATAGAGTGTGGAAGGAGGCAGGGCGGAGGGGACAGATGAAGTCAAGATTTCTAAGTGAACCTTCCAATGTTTTAAACTTTCATAGCATATGTTTTATATATTTACAAAACAAATTAATAACCACCCCCGGACCTTTCCTCACCTTCAATATCATTAAAACAAAACCATACCAAACCCAGATACAGTAACAACCCAGAAGTTCTTCAGAGGGAATACACTCTCCAAATCATAGAATCAGAGGTCACAAGAGCTGTACTTTGTGTCCAATGTAAACACAGAATTTCAGATACCCAAGATGCAACAGTGCTTGTGGCGCTTAGGAATACCAACTGTTCTCTTTTACTTTAGAGCTTTATTCACCAAATTCTGTCTTTATCTGTTGAGTTCCCCCAAATCAATGCAAGTTTACGCTTTCATTATTCTTGTCACTACTTCAAAGGAAGAGTAAGTGAAGCAAGGTCTACAGTCTCATAGGAGCTTGGAATGCCAAAAAAGGAAAAAGAAGATCCACTGTGTTCTTTGGTGTGAAGCTTCAGTATTTCCCTAGTTCTGGAAAATTCCTATCTATGTGTTTAAATAATTTCCCATTATGTTTTAGATGATTTTTAAAAGAGAAAAAGCCAGGCGAGGCAGAGGCAGGTGGATCTCTGTGAGAAATCCCACACCCACTATATAGGTACTCACTTTTGCTTTTCAAATTCTGATTCTTGATGTTCTTACTAGGCAGCCTTAGGATTTTATAAACTGTTCTCTTACCGTTTGACATGTTTCCTTCTGTTTCCATCCTATCTTCCTATCTGTTTCCATTATATATTCTGGTAGACTTTCTTGGCTATGTTTTCTAGAAAAGTCCTATTTTTAAAAACATTCAGCAGTAGTATTATTTCCAAATAATTTTTTTCTTGTATGTTTCTTTTTTCTTCTTTCCATTACCCTTCTGAGGTTAGTGTTAAGTTTTGGTTATTTTCTTTTATGCTGATATTTTTTCCTCCTTTGCTGGAAGACTTGGTTAACTATTCACATTTAAGGCAGAAAGGTAAGGGATTGTTCTTTGCAAAGAAAAATTCTTGAAGTGCAATAGAAGGGCACTTCTTGACCATAGCTAGGCCATGTTAAAGTTCAGGCTGGTTCTAGTCTCTGAAATTATCAGGCCCAGGGTATGGGAACACATGTCAGCAGGACCCCAGTTGTCTTGGGAACAGGTCAGTGTGCCCTGGAGAGCACCTGATAACTGCAGATTTATAGTTTCTGTAGGTTATGCTTGGCTTCTGCAAAATAGTAATTGTTGCTTAATAGAACAGAAATTGTTAAGGGGGCTCTCCACCTGTAAGCTTGGGGAACCTAAACTTTTCACTCTTGGTTATGGTTTCTCTGTATAAAAACTTACCCTAGAGATAGCTTGGGGCTATACACTTGGGTTCCGACACCCCTGTGTAGTACCCCTGGCCAGCAACAACTTTCATTTGGCAAAACTTTGTCTGAGTGGTCTTCTCTGGTGAAGCACCTCACAATAGAAGGCTAGGCTAAAAGTATATTAAGACAGTTACTTATCAGAGGTATAGGGCATGGCAGAATGTGTAAGTGTGTCGCTTTAGGGTGAGCAGGTGGGGAACAGATAAGGCTGTAAGCTTTAGAGCCTTGGATCATAGCATAAGTCTTATGTTAAAGCACCAACATCCAACCAAAAAAACCTTATTTTTCCCCATACCATTCAATCTCTTCCCAGAAAAATCATCTGTTATTTTACAGGGAGATGCAAGCTGCCTGAGTGGTAGGACGAGAGGTGAGGGTATACTGGAAACACCGAGTGCTGCTTCCCAATTCACATCCATTGACCTTTCCCGTTTTCAGACACAACCCCCACTTTGGCTCTTTGTCTGTCGGTTTATCTGTTCCTAGCTTCCTAGCTTACAGTGTTCTCTAGGCTAGCTTCTTAGTTTGCTCTTCCTTCAATCCACTTCCACTTCTATCTACTTTCCAACTTGTTGGTGACTCAACCCTTTAGTGTTTCTCTCTCTCCTGTTTTTGGAGATAGTCTCTCATCTTTAGGCCAAGTAATCTTCCTGCCTGAGCTTCCAAGGGCTGGGATTACAGACATAAACTGCCATACCCAGCTAGCCCTCAGGCTCTCTGATTTGGTATTTCTAGGTTTTCATTTTCATAGACTCTCAGACAGGAGTTAAATGTTGATACCTAGTCATTCATCTTGGAACTTAGTACTTTTTTTTTTTTTTTTGGTCTTTTGGGACAGGGTCTCCTTGTAGCCCCATTTGGTCTGGAACTCACTATGTAGACCAGGCTGGCCCTGAACTCACAGAGATCCACCTGTCTCTGCCTCCTGAGTGCTGGATTAAAAGCGTGCACCTCCATGCCTAGCTAGAATTTAGTGCTTTTAAAGGAGATAGATTTTACCTTCTACAGAAAACTCCAGGGACTAGTAAATTCTATTTTTTCTCATCTTTAAGTAGTATCTCTTTTCTTTTTGTTGTAGATTGTTTTTTGACAGGTCTCCCTAGTCACGGCCTTCCTGGAAATAATGTGAACCAGGGTGGTCTCCATCTCGCAGAGTTCCACCTTCCTCTGCCTCCTGAGGGCTGGGATTAAAGGCACACACCACCACACCTGCCATGTACTGTCTGTCTTCTATGAAGAATCAAACCAACTATGTAGAACACACACTCCAATTGTTTGATATTTAACATAATTTTCAGTTAATTGTTTGACATTTAACATAATTTTCAGTTCTGAACTTAGATGTGCAGCAATCTGTTGTTTTATTACTGTGTTTTTCTTGGGGAAAGTTCTACTGTTCTCATTAGAGTTCCAAGGGGTCTAATCTAAAAGTGGTGAGGAACCATAGACTAAACAAACACTCCTTCAAATAGTATTAGAAGTTAAAAATCTAGCGGCTGGAGAGATGGCTCAGTGGTTAAGAGCACTGAATTCTCTTGCAGAGGACCCGGGTTCCATTCCCAGTACCCACATGGCAGCTAAGAACTGTCCTTAATTCCAGTTCCAGGGGAATCCAATGCTCTCTTCTGACCTCCACAGCATTGCACCACATAGGTGCACTCACATACATGCAGCCAATATACTCATACATACACACACAGAAAAAAAAATAAAATATTAAAAAAAAGAAGTTAAAAATCTCTCCATTCCATGATGATATGTTTAAATTTCAGACTTTAAATTACAGGTGTCTACATCATAAAACAGTAACCTTTGAAAATAATTTTGAAGTTCATTAAAAGCCCCATGGCAACCAGTAGACAAGTGACTATAAACTACATCGGAAAGTTTGGAAGTTTCTTTTAGGAACACGACAAAATGCTGGAAAATGCTTACAGGTTTAGGTTTTGTGCATGGTGGATGAGAGTGGTTCGAACTGGGGATGCCAGATGACCCCTCAACCTGACGATCTAGTAGACAGCTGCTTGGATATCACTACTTAGGTACAATGCCAAGTTTTATGCTCAAAGACTTAGTGACTAAATACAATCTAGGCAATAGGTTAAGGAGAGGTTAAAAAAGAAACAAAGAAGAGGAAGAACTGATTGATGTATTGGCCACAAGTGTGTGGTTCTTACAAAATAAAACTACCAGATGTTAGCTTGGTGCCTCTGAGACAACTTGTATATGTTCGTGTCAAGAAAATGTTAACTTTCGGGTTTTATGTAAATGTTGTTTGTTGATATGGTCCTTTATATAACTGTTCAAATAATTATTTTAATACATTTTCAGAGTGAGTAAAAAGTTAAAAAGCACAATAACAGTAAGAATCAGAGCTATGTAGATAATAATGCATGACTCTAATGTTTGGGTTTTTTTTTTTTTTTTTTTTTTTTTAGAGACAGGGAAAGAGACAGGGTCTCCCTGTAGCCCCAGATAGCCTAGAACTCACTATGTAGACAAGGCTGACCTTGAACTAGTTCTGCCTGTCTTTGCCTTCAGAGCGCTGAGATTAAAGGCGTGTGCCACAATGCCCAGGATCAACTTTAATCCTTCTTGATTATGAATGTACTTGCAGAATTATGCTGATATCATAAAACGTCAGTCACAGCATATGTTGTATATATTATAATAATGCTTAAAATCTAGGCTTCAGTAGCCTTACTTGAAATTTCAAAAATAAACAAAGCAGCTAATGCTTATTAAGTTAAATCTACATGGTTTTGCTGGGTTCAATAAACTGAAAGTAAACTTCTTTATGATAGCATCTTCAAGACATGGGGAATGCCATTTGAAGATTAATGATCATCATAATTTTTTTATGTGCAAATTGTTTAGTTGGGACTAAGCTGGATGTTCCCAAAGAAGATAGGTTTTTGGATCGGTCTCATTATTTATTTTTATTCTCTTTATTCAAATAAGTTATCACCACACAGATTTCAGTTAATCAGAGCTATAGTTCATTGTGGTTTATGTGAAAATATTATAAACCAAAAGAAACCTCAATTACCTACCTAGGCGATGAAATCCAAAGGTGAATCTTCTAGTTGGTGACTTTGAGGACAGCCACAAAGCAAGCAAAGTGAGTATGATGGCACTAAGGTCAGTTAGCATATGCAGTGCATCTGTCATAATTGCTAGACTGTTTGCAATGTATCCACCTGGGAGGAAGGGGAGGAAGATTAAGAAAATGCTAAGCAATCAGTTTGTATATACAACATCCTATAAAACATAAACTGTGAACTAAATCCCTGATACAACTAAAACAAGTATTCTAACATTTCATACAAAAGAGTATGCATGCAAAATCCTTCAATATCTATGGGGATGGGTTTCCTTTGGGTATTAAAATCTGGAGTGCCTTATACAAAATGGTGTATTTGCATGTGGCTTATAAACATAAACCTATACAGAGTTTATATCAGCTCTAGATTATTAATAATATCAAATATACCTCACTGTTTAAAGAAAAATGACAAGAAAACAATTTTTTACATAGTCAAGTATTTTTTCAAATATTTTCAAGCCTTAGCTAGGTGACTCCATGGATGTGGAACCTGTGGATTTGGAACCTGTGGATATGGCAGGCCCACCACACATTCATGGTGAAAAAAAAGTCCATTCTATTAACACAATCTCCAAAGTGATAATTACTTTAAACAAAGTTAAGCACTAAACTGGCAGCAAACATAAGAAATGTGTTTTCCAACTGCAGCTTTTTCTCAACTTGCAAATCCTAAAACAGTGAATTAATACAGTATCTAAGTATCAAAACAAAGCAGAGCAAAATATATGCCCTCTGTTGCTCAAGAAAGATTGAAACATGAAATGAAACTAAGGAAATCTAAACAGTGCATATTAGCTTATACATTTGATACATTTGAACAGAGGAACAGAAGATGGTATTTAGAAAATATGTTCTGTGCTGGGTATGGTAGCTTTAATCCCAGCACTTGGGAGGCAGAGGCAAGTGGATCTGTGAGTTTGAGTCCAGCCTGGTCTACATAGCGAGTTCCAGGCCAGTTGGGGCCACAGGGAGAACCTGTCTCAAAAAGACCAAAAAAAAAAAAAAAAAAAAAAATAAACAAAAGAAGAGAAAAAAAAATGTTCCGATTGGTGGTAACTCATGTTGATAATCTCCATTTGGAGATTTAAACTGACCTTTGTGAGGTAATATTAAATGAGACCATAGGGCAGGGTCCTAACTCAACTGGACTATGGCCTTATAGAATGAACAATCTGAAAGAGGAACCCCTATCTCACCATGTGATCCTCAGCACTGCCTTGAGACTATGTAAAGGACCTCAGCAAATGTGGCTTCTTGATCTTGAGCCATAAAGTGAATAAACCTTTATTTTTTATAAAGTACAGTCTGTGGTATTAAGTCATAGCAACATAAAGGATATATATATATATGGTTTGGTACTACTGCCTGTGATCCACTAAGAATCTTGGAATATATCCCTGATAGCTAAGGAGAAGCCATGGTATTTAAGTTTAGGAGAGATACAATATCTAATGAGAGAGAGAGAGAGAGAGAGAGAGAGAGAGAGAGAGAGAGAGAAATATGGAAGAGGAGGATATTTACAAAATGTAATTTTAAATTAATTTGTAAGTATAAGAAAATTCTGGTTTTTTAGGTCAATAATGTGATCATTAGCAAATTCTA